TAGGCTCTTGCATTTCTGCATATATAAATGTCATTAGGCAAACCGTTTATAGGCTTAATAACAAAGTTGCATATAGACATCATGTGTATAAGACTCTTATTGATATCAGGAAAGGGTGTTAAAATCAGTAAACATATAGAAGCATGCCTATAGGAAACCTCGTCTTTAATAGCATCATTTGTTCTTAAGCAATATCGATTGCTGGAACTAGTGTCTTTATTAAAACTGGTAATTTTCTGAAGCCCGCTAAAATTGGTAAATCTTTTTCCTTGTCACGACTCGGATTATTCCCACCATCAGGAGTCGTGAAGGCGCCTACTAATGGAGCTAGGCAAGCCAAACATTTCAGTATTCCATGATAACACCTCACCAATATAAATATTACGAGTCATTTAAATAAAAGTGGAAGTCTTAAAAACATAGGTAAATGAAAAACCAAAAATGCGGAAGTTTAACAGTTCTCTACCAAAGACTGGTGTCACTAACTCACGAACTACTAAGGAGTGCTAAAGACAAGTCTGATTAGAAATACATCAATGTTTGTCTCGGTACAATGAAAACAAACTAAAACATAGAAAGGGACTCCGGCCTGCGAACGCCAGCTAGGCTACCTCGTAAGTCCCTGGACTGAAGTCAGCTCCCGATCAATATCCTACTGCTGTGGTCCAAAAGCTGCTCCGGTACCGCGATCTGTGCAAAAGAGCACAGAAGTGTAGCATCAGCACAACCGACCCCATGTGCTGGTAAGTGCCTGGCCTAACCCCGGCGATGTAGTGATGAGGCTAGACAGGACTACCAAACCAACCTGTGCAGTTCAATATATATATATATGCAATAAAAGGGAAGAACAAAGAAATTAAACAGTTAAGAGGGAGGGGAGCATACTATGTGGAGTACAGTCCAGATATAAAGTCAAGAATTTAAGTAAGAAACAGGGCAATAACAATAACTAATGAGAGCAGGAAAATCAACAGTTGCACGGCATCAACCTTCGTGCTTTTACCCTCATTCTCACCAAGAGAAACCAAATAAAGTACACGGCATCACCCTTCGTGCTTTTCCTCACATAACTCTCACATCATGGCACGAAATTTCCCTTCGTGCAAATATCATCAAGAACATGGCACAGAATGACCCTTCGTGCAAGTATAATCAAACATGGCACGGAATGACCCTTCGTGCAAATGTAATCAAACATGGCACGGAATGACCCTTCATGCATTATCACTCTTTCTCACCCAAACAGTAGTCACAACCAAACGGGGCGAGGGGATAACAAATAATAAGAAGTGTCCCGGCAAGGGAAATACACAGTTAAACAGCTAAATCCTGGCAAGGGAGCAACAACAATAACTTTCATATCCTGGAAAGGGAGATAATTAATATACTCAAACCATCCCGGCAAGGGATTAATCATATCTCTTTCTATTTCTTTCATCTCTTACTCAATAGTCTTTTTATCATTCGAGCCAACGCTCCAAAGACTTTACAATTCATAATTAGTCCTCGTACTCTTCACATTGCATAGAATTCATCAGTTAACATGGGAGAGTCATAACAATATCAGAATAAGTACATACAAGGACCCACGGTTATGCTAGACGACGGTGTATAGATACTCGTCACCATGCCTATACACCGCACTCGATCATTTAGCAATTAGCAAATAATAACACACTAATCCTATTCCTTCAAGCCAAAGTTAGATCAAACACTTACCTCGAATGCTCCAAACTCAACTCAATCCTCTAGTATAGCTTTACCCCTCGAATTCACCACCAAACCGCTCGAATCTAATCACAAATTACTTGAAGGTATTAACAATGCTACTTGAATCAATTTTAATGCATGAAAATGAATTTCCCAAAGTTTGTTCAAAAATTCCCAAAATGCCCCCGGGCCCACGTGGTCAAATCTCGAGGTTCGAACCAAAACCCGATTACCCATTCCCACATGAATTCAGATATATAAGTGATTTTGGAATCGGACCTCAAATTGAGGTCCAAAACCCCCAAATTTAGGAACCCTAGTTCTACCCTAAATTCCCAAATTCCCCCATAAAATCCTTGATTTGAAGTTAAAATTATGATTAAGGATGTTAAGGAGTATAGAAAATCAGTTAGAAATCACTTACCAATTGTTTTGAAGAAGTAGAATCGTTTGGAAAATCGCCTCTTATATTTTGGGTTTTAAAAAAATGCAAAATGACTGAAAATCCCGACTTTATATACTGTACTGAAGACCCGGCGCGGACCGCACAAAAATGCCCCGCGGCCGCGCCGAGGAAAGGGTGGGGAAACCGCTCTCTGAACCTACCCAGCGCGGACCGCACTGATTTGGTGCGCGGCCGTGCTGGTTGAATGAAATCCCAAGGCCCCTCTCTGAATCTTCCAACGCGGACCGCACTGATATGGCACGCGATCGCGCTGGTCGAATTGGGAGTCATTGGCCCTCTGAACCCAGCCACGCGGACCGCACAAAAATGCACCGCGGCCGTGCGGCTGCCAGCGCGGACCGCGCGGAAATGACCGCGGCCGCGCTAGGGGCCTGCAACACCTGATACTTTTAAGCCTAAGACCTCCCGGGACCTACTCAAAACTCACCCGAGCCCTCGGGGCTCCAAACCGAACATACATAAAATCTCAAAGAGATACTCTGGACTCATTCGTGCGATCAAATAGCCCAATTAACATCATGAATCATCAATTTGGGTCTCAATACCCATGAATTTCTCTCCAATTCCCATAAAACATTAAGTTAAGCTTTTCTAGCTCAAAACACGTCTAATGACGTCCAAATCTAACCAAACTTTACAGCAATTGCTTAAATCATATTTAAGACTTGTGCCGGGAGTCGGAACCAAAATACGAGCCCAACAGCACAGTCTTCTAAACAAATAACACCTTCCAATTCTTTAATTATTTTCAGAAAACAATTTCACACAACAATTCGTTTCTCGGACTTGGGACCTCGGAATTCGATTCCGGGCACACACCCAAGTCCCAAAATTTCCTACGGACCTTCCGGGACTGTCGAATCACGAGTCCTGGTCCGTTTGTCCAAAACGTTGACCAAAGTCAAACTTAATCAATTCAAAACATCAAATTTATTATCTTTCTCACAAATTCACATTTAAACTTTCCGGCTACGCGCCCGGATTGCGCACACAAGTCGAGGCAACCCCCAAATGAGGTTTTCACGGCCTCGGAAGTACAAGGCGAGTGGGAAATACGGTGATGACCCCTTTGGGTCGTCACATCCTCCACCTCTAAAACAACCGTTCGTCCTCGAACGGACAAAAGAAAGAAGTACCTGAATCGGGGAAAAGATGGGGATAACGGCTTCGCATATCAGACTCGGACTCCCAGGTCGATGCCTCAGGAGGCTGACCTCTCCACTGAACGCGAACAGAAGGAAAACTCTTCGACCTCAGCTGTCGAACCTGTCGGTCTAGAATAGCTATCGGCTCCTCCTCATATGACAGATCCTTGTCCAATTGGACAGTACTGAAGTCTAATACATGGGTAGGATCGCCGTGATACCTGCGAAGCATAGATACGTGGAAAACCGGGTGCACGACTGATAAGCTAGGTGGCAATGCAAGTCTATAAACCACCTCTCCTACTCGGTCAAGAATCTCAAACGGACCAATATACCTAGGGCTAAGCTTGCCCTTCTTTCCGAACCTCATCACGCCCTTCGTAGGCGACACTCGGAGCAATACTCGCTCACCAATCATGAAAGCTACACCTCGGACCTTACGGTCTGCATAAGTCTTCTGCCTAGACTGAGCTGAACGAAGCCTCTCCTGAATAATCTTGACTTTATCTAAGGCCTCCAGAACTAAGTCTGTACCCAACAGCCGAGCCTCTCCCAGATCGAACCAGCCGACTGGAGACCGACATCGCCTCCCATACAACGCCTCATATGGAGCCATCTGGATGCTAGACTGGTAGCTATTGTTGTAGGCGAACTCTGCTAATTGCAAAAACTGGTCCCACGAGCCTCCAAAATCAATGACACAGGCTCGGAGCATATCCTCCAATATCTGAATAGTCCTCTCGGACTGGCCGTCCGTCTGAGGATGGAACGCTGTGCTCAACTGAACCTGAGTGCCCAACTCCTGCTGAACTGCCCTCCAGAAGCGCGAGGTAAACTGCGTACCCCGATCCGAAATAATAGATACCGGCACCCCATGAAGGCGAACAATCTCTCGGATGTAGATCTCAGCTAACCTCTCCGATGAATAAGTGGCTGCAACAGGAATAAAATGCGTTGACTTGGTCAGCCTATCAACAATGACCCAAATAGCATCAAACTTTTTCCGGGTCAACGGAAGCCCAGTAACGAAATCCATGGTAATCCTCTCCTACTTCCACTCGGGAAGCTCAATCCGCTGAAACAAACCACCAGGCCTCTGATGCTCATACTTAACCTGCTGACAGTTCAAACATCGAGCCACATATGCAACAATATCTTTCTTCATACGCCACCAATAATGCTGCCGCAAGTCCTGATACATTTTCGCGGCGCCCGGGTGAATAGAATACCGAGAACTATGGGCCTCTGCTAAGATCAACTCTCGAATCCCATCGACATTGGGCACACAAACTCGCCCCTGCAATCTCAAAACACCATCATCATCTAAGGTCACCTTCGTGGCACCTCCACGCTGCACCGTGTTCTGCTCAGACTTTCCATACGAATTTTCTAAGTTCTTCTCCTTTCTTCTGCATATTTTAACTTCAAAGAAAGCAACAGTAAGTGTGATTTGCTACCGAACTTTGTGTTCGCTGAAACACTGGGGTTTGAAGTACCACTACACCAGTGTGTAATTCGTTCTATCCTGGGAAGAAATAATCCATAACCTTGGGTACTATGAGGGGATTAAATTCCTTAAGGAAACACTATGAATTTAGTGGGCTCGAATTGGTTGTTATTTCGTTTACATTTCTGTTTATGTTATTTTATTTTCTCCAGAATTGTTTTACAAATACAGATTACTAACAATCTTGTTATATACTTTATATCGTTAAAGCTGCATTTACAAAGACTGAAAATGTACAAGAAGCTTATTACAGATATAAGCTTACATGCTACAATGATCAGAGATAATCTAAGCTGATATGATCCTTTTTCCCATTAGAGCAGTAACAACTCCTCCTAATACGAGCTATCGGATGCTTACTGGGGTGATTTAGAGGTCAAAACTGTGGCTATTGAAATGGAAAATAGCCTGATGGCCTCTTCTTTGCAAGTTTTGCCTTCTGCACTCTTTAGCAACACTGGACTGTAGAGTAGGAGGACCACATACTATCACACCAATATCTACACTTCCCCAACTCTTTGCATGTGATCCAAATATCTCTGCAGAAAAAGAAGTTAAAACACACTGTCAAGAAAACTAAGGGAAAGTAGACCTTGCAAAGTTCATATGTTTCTCTGAACATACCTTGGAAATCTGGTCTTTCACCATATAGGATAGTATTAACAGATCGAGCCTCTTCAAGATTCTTCTGTAAAGAGGCCTCATTCTGCTGCAGGATGTCGATCTTCTTTGTGCTGTCCTCTGGTTCCTCCTTCAGTGAGGTTTTCTTTTCCCAAAGATGCCATAAAGCGATCACGAGACCCCCAAATATAACAACACTTGCAACCATGCATCCAATCAACAAAAGCCCCTTGTACCACCAGTAATATATATTGTGTGGATTTATGTAGAAGATGTCTAATAATGCTATAGTGATCACCAACCCAATTGTGGATACTATGACATACAATCCAGACCATACAACATTTCCAGTACCAACCAAACCAGACATTCGACATCCCTTGAAGCCAGGGTAGATTGAGGGGTTCATTGCTTTGGATGTTTTACCCTCCTCCTGAGAAAAAAAAGTCATAATTAACACATAAAAATTGGGTGATGATACATAAAAAAAATGAAAAATAGGGGGAAAAACGAATACCAATGGAGGTTGTGATTCCCGAGTCACGAATGTTTGAATCTCAAGATTCAGTTTATCAGAAAAAAGTGGACAAATTGCCTCCATGTCAACTGTCTCAAGAAGTGGAAGCTCATCTGACTTTTTTATAGCCCATACTATTAGTATATTTCTCGGCAGGCAAGGCTTGCTATCGTTGATACGGTGGAGGATATCACTCAAGATCGCTAGGAAAGGTGATATTCCAATTCCACCTGCTACCAAAATGAGATTTTCATACCTGAGAGGAGAAGCATGATCAAGCCAATTAATTAGTCAATGACTTGATAACTTTAATAAAAGAAAATTGTATACTCAACAGGTATGGCTGAGTATTCACATACATTAAGTGGTATGGTGATTCATGCCCATAAGGACCTTCAACAGATGCGGTTATCTTCCTATTATGCTGCAAAAGGGGCTCCATCTCAGGTTGTTCAACCGAAAGATTCAAGATGTGTTCCTTCAGTTTTTCGGTCCAATCTCCAAGAACCTTTATGAGAATTGCAAGATGATGTTTCCCATCAAGAGGACTAGAGGAGACACTGAAAGGGTGCCACTGCAGCCAGGACAACTCGGGTACTTGTAAAAATATCCAGCCAAGGGCGTTGTAACGTAAATCTACATTATAAGAGAAGCAGTATTAGAATCATTGAAAAATGCAGAGGAAATGAAATTAGTTGAGTGAGATTTATATTTACTCGAAGGTTTTGAAAGAACTAGTTCAACGGTTCCACATGGAAAGCATGTGGCTGAAAGTATGTCAACAGTCTTTCGTGACTGGAAGAACCTAAGGAACCGATCAAGCATGAAAAGGAAGATTCCAGCACCAGCTATCATGAAGATGAAGTCACCAACATGCAAGGCCAGGAACACCACGAACACCACATATAATTGGTGCGTATAGAAGAACAGTTCAAAGTTTTGTCTCCTTACTCCAGGAAGTGAAGTCACCCACATTAATAAACCAGCTGCAAGGCTGATAACCCCTGGAAGATTGGCTACTCCTACGCTTTTCCACTGGATTAGCTGCATTAAACACAGTGACAAAGTCCAAGTCTTCAATTTCTTGACCAAAAATACTCACAAAGATGCGTTAATGTGATAAAGCATTAATATTTAAATTATAACTTAGTACAAGGGATCTCTATGGGCTAAGGAAATAACTTTCAGTTTTAGAACTCACTTCCTCCACAAGGCGGCCCCGCATTGCCCAGCCAATCACATAGAACAGACCATGAAGGCTAAAAAGAGCCATAGTAAGATGTCCCAGCCAAACATGATATCGAGTGGCATGTTCAAAAGGAATATCTATAGCTCGAAGAAGAACTGAACCACGTGCAACAGGCAGAAACAGGAATGCTAAGCAGATTAATCCGATGAATCCAAAACGAAGGCCTGTAAGCTCCAGCAACAGAGCACTGGAAAAATTACAACAGCAGATATTAGTCGATCCTGTTATTAAAGGAGCCTTCAAGTCAACTACTATGTACTGGTTCTAAAGTCTGATATAAGAACTATGTGGCTGGAACTGCTTATATCCGAATACTTTGAAACCTTTTCACATGGAATTCTCTTTATATTTAACAAGATGCGCGATTTATAAATTGAAGTGACATAGAAGAGAGGACAGATAAAAAGAAGAGAAAATCAATCTATCTTTCTCAATTTAAAATCACAGGTGGATTAGATAAAGTGCAGCAAATGAACTTAAAAGATCCTCACTTATATCAGTGAAGTTACTAAAATCAAACGCATAGACAGAATATCCTGGAATTATCGTATGATACGGAAAGTTAACTGTACTAAACTTATCTAAATCAGTTTGTTTTCATTAGACCGGTGCAGGAATAAACATAAAAAAACAGGATATATTTATTATTTCAATAAGTCGAGTCTAAATTCTGTTTAAAGAATAAATGAAATCTTTAAACAAGCTCCAAAGTCATGTTTAGCTAAAGCTTCACTAAATTGAACTTGTCAATGTTTCAGACTTTCAGTACCTTCAGAATTCTATGCATGCACATTTCTGGAGAAATAAGAGCTACTGTATAAGAAGATAATATAAGAACAAACTAAAATTGAAATACCAAAATTCAAATTAAGGGTGTATTGGAGCGAAACATTTCTGAATATAGAGCAATTAAGGGCCAGAAGGATGCAATATAAATAACTATAAAGAATCATATCATGTAGTTCTCTCTGAGAAGGTATAATGATTTATTAGCCCGGCCACACAAGTATATATAATACGATGACCATTTTGTCAAGCCGGAATAAGATGGTCCAAATTATAGAACAGCAATAGGCCTAAATGAGCAGGTTAACAATCCATTCTTGAACATGGTGAACATTATTAGCAACTACTTTCTCTTCATACACATAGAAGCAACAACAACAACAACAAACCTAGTACAGTCGCACAAAGTGGGGTCTGGGGATTCAGACACAGGAGCAAAAGTGAGAAATCAGACAAACCCAAACTAGCAGGAAACATGATCATGGTGACAGAATTACCTTTTCTCTTTCATGTCTTGTACATGAAACAAGGATAAGAGGTCAACATTTTGTATACTGTACATAATAACAGCCCAGACGATGTACACTGAGAAGAGTATAACTCCAATCATTTCTGCAGCTGTAACAACCCCAAATGGTCCATTCACCAGCACTGGGAATGTCCACAACCGAAAACTTGGACTTTTTGCAGCCTTCTTCCTACAACAATTAAAAATTCAATTAACTACACAAGTTCAGAACAACCACTAACTTATAAAGGAGTTCTAAGAATTAATAAATCAAGCTAGCAGATACACATACACTTGGTGTTCATCTTCACCAGAGAGAACGATGCGAATAATTGCAAGAAATGCAATCATGAAAATTGGGAAACTGAATATCAAGAATATACTTCCTGCAGTCCAACAAAAACTGATATCACTTACTAAGAAATTCGAAACAATGATACAACATTAAAATAAGAAACTTTCAAGTTAGATACAAACCTGTAGTCCCAAAAATAGTTCCTTGGGTGGCTCGAATAAATTTCCCTTGCAAATCATTCATGAATTTAGAAGGCGATAAGAAAATAAAAGTTGCCCATGCAATGAAGATCACCCACATTACTACTTTGAGAATTAATTTTGTTAATGATACCCAAAATGGTGTCTTATTGAGATAATCAAATTCATTTTCTTTCCTCAAAAGAAGAGGTTCTTGGCCTGAGAGTTCACCCATTTTAGAACTTCTTAAAGTTGGCAGCAAATACACTCTTCAGGCCTACATCAAGCAACCCCAACAAAGTAGTTAATATATACAAGAAGGCTTCAGAAGAAACCAAAAGCCATCAACATTAGGCTATGTGCAAAATTTAAGCAGAAATCTGGCAGAAATGAAGCCACAAAAATATTGGACCACTCAAAAATTATCCTTTCCCCCTCGGAAATGGATGAATACAGTTAGAGAATATGTCTATCTCATTGTTAATACTAAGAAAGGTCAGTTCATATTATTCTTCTTTTTTCTCGACTTCATATTCTTCTCAAAATTGAAAATACTGACGTTACATCAGTGGAAAGAATAGTACTAATATAACATGTAGACATACAATCTCTCAGACTATAGTGGTGAATATGGAGTCATTAAAAAATCAAAATAGTAAGGGCGAAAGCATAAGTGTAGCCACAAACACTAAAAGGGAATCCATAATTGACTCTAGTGCTTCTTCTTTCTATTCCCTTGTTTTAGTGTGATCTTTTTTTTCTCGAGAAAAGAAAATAGGCGAATCAAATAAAAGTAAAAACATATGATTTTCGTTCACCCCATTAATTACTAGTACTGCGTAACTAAGATATCAAAATAAAGAAAAGGCTCAAATTAACTCCGTACAAAGTAATCCCATAATTACGATTTGACATTAAGAAACTAATGGTATGGCTCTTCGCATAGGTCAATCATTTGATTATAGCTAAAATTCTACACTTCAAAGTTAGATCGTATAATTTATAAATAAATATTATTTCAATGCAATAACAAGGTTGACAAGTGTACACTATTTAAAAGAGTATTTTGAAAAATAATAATAATATAATATAGATACAAATTACTCACCATTGAAGTTGCATTACCAAAAAAAGAGTTTTTAAATCTTATTAGTAGACAGTCTTAATTTTTTTCTAACGAATCATAGATTCTTTTAAAATAAACTTACTTAAATCAATTTTAAGATGATATTTTCTTTTACCGCTGAATTCCTTGGTTTTTATGTATACTAGTATAAGAACCCGCGCGATGCATGGAAATTTGACAGAATATTAATCTTATAAAATTATGATCTAATATATCATATTAATTTAATAAATATTAGTTGCATTTTGTTATAGTGTGCAGAAATATAATACAATCTATAAAAAATTAGAGAATACATATCATATAGTAATCAAATAATTATTTGTTCCTTTTTATTGAATTTGCAAGTACTTAGTACTACCGATACTTTTCTTGAGTGTTATTTATTTATATTTTATTTTTAATTAATTAAAAATATAAATATCATAATATTATCTCCATCATCCTCTTTTCATACATTCCTTTCTACTGTAATACTTATTTGGTTAGTTTTCAGATATTGTAGTTTATTAAAATTTGAATAATGTAATATTTTTTTTACTAAATTATAATTTTGAATTCATCAAAAGTATAAAGAGATAAGAATATAT